GCATTGAGGTTTACTGATATAAAGTTTGAAACAAATATTTTGGGTAAATAGAAATTGAATTAATTTTACCATGCACTGAAGGTTGTTATATAAAGAAGTTTCAATAAAAATCATTTAACTACAGAAAATACTTGAAATTTTAGTGATAAAAGCATAGAATTATTTTATTAAAAAGACTTGAGGTAGTTTATTTTAGGTGGTACATAAAATACATGCTTGTTCACTGCAAGTTCTTCTAAGTGATATGTTGATTATAGTAAGAAGCTGTACTCTTTGTTAAAAATTGTGTTAAACTATTTCAGAGTTTAAAATATCCAAAGGATTGTTGGTTTTAATACTGTTAATATCTATGGTAAAGTTAAAGAACTATGGATATATTTATTGTAGTGAAGTACCTTTTTTTCAAATTTATTTTTATGTTTTGATGATTGAAAGTTGGTGATAAAAACTATGATGAGACCTCCTTCTGTTTAAGGATGTTCTTGTGGTCTTTTTTCTCTATTCTCATCTTCTAATCATTCTCTTCTGTTGAAGAATGTTCTTGTGGTCTTTCTTCCATATTCTCATCTCATCAAGATTGTGTTTAGGCTAACCATTCTCTTCTGTTTAAAGATGTTCTTGTGGTCTTTCTTATTCTCTTCTGTTTAAGAATGTTCTTGTATTTACAAATTTCTCTCTCTCATTCTTTTAAGGACATTAGTTTTGCATTTAGGCTTCCTTCATTTTCATCTCTTTTAGGATGTTCCTCTTGTGTTGTGATTTCCTCTTTCATTTATATGTTGCATTATACATCTCTTTTTCCATTTGAATTTTGATTGCAAGCACTTTGGAAAAGGAAATGTTTTTGGGGTTTAAAAGTTTCTTTTAACGTTAAAGTTTGATTCGTATTAAAAAATTTTTTTAGTCTTTTTTTTTTTTTCCACTGGTTCAACAAACATGACTTCAAATGTAGAAGGCCTAGAGAGAACATAGCACATTTCTTATTGATATGTTGGTTGAGGTAAATATGGTGTATATGTGATATTATTCTGCATTTCATCTGTTTGACAGGTATTGGCTTTTGAATATGTAAAATATTCATTTGATTTTTAAAAAATTTGCAACATTTATTTACATACATATAAACTGATGTAGTCTGAAATAGTTATCTGAGTTTTTAAGAGATGTTTTATTTACATAAACACACACGTGTGTATAGTTCCCACACAAACTTAATGTCACTGTGAAATTATGAAAGAGAAACTGAACCCATAACCCTAAAAACTTCCATTATAATAATGGTACAGGTTTTAAATTCTAGTACGTGGGATTTAATGTTATTTTGTTCAAATTAAAACACCAAATCTTCAGTGGATTTTTATTCTAAAAAAGAATCGTATAGATGAATTTAATCTCGATATTCTATTTCATCTTCCTATGAAAAAAAATATTATGCTTTATCTTAATCTCTCTGAATTCTGAATATGGTACTGTTTTGTAAGTTTTAGTGTTATGGTATAATTAATTAATTTATACATCTTCAAGAAGATCACGTAAAGTGTGGTATTATTTAAAGTTGATTTTTTAAAATTGCATTCATATATTTATAAAAGCATACCCATTATACATCTTTTATAAATTCAAAAAATATTAGAACAATAAATAAAGAAGATAGATAGTCAGTTAAAATTTTCCTTTTTTTCAGATGTGAATCTGGTTTTATTTGCATAAATCTCATTTAATACCTTAATTTAACTAAAAGTAACCTTTTTTATTTTATTTTATAAATACATCATAATAATCACATAATTACACTAAAACACAGGAAATTATTCCATTACTAGATAAAAATGTACTGAATATTGTTGAATTAGTATCAAGGATAAGTTATAACCTGCAGGTTTGTTTTGTTTAAATTATTTATTTATTTTTGCTTTGAGTTAGATATCAAATTCAACCAAGAGGTTTTAGTACGTTTTATTGTCTCAGTCTGAACGTGAATAAAAAAATAAATACAGTTAAGTTTTTCAAATTAAAAAGAAAAGCAAAAAACAGTAACAGTGTATAACTCTTCTGTTGCATACGTTTCAGAAGCTTTTAGTAACCCAGTGTATCAGTAGTACGTTTGAGGAGTTACAATGCTGAAAAAACCAAGGTTTCAGTTCCTTGTGGTGGACAGGGCTCAGGTAGTTCATTTGGCAGCTTTGTACTAAAACAAAAACAATTGGATACTTGTATGTTACAACAACTTATTATCGAATATGTGCAAGCTAAGCCATAACTATCTTTAGAAAAAAATCTTTTAAATTTGATTGTAAAAACTCTTGTACAAAAGTTTATGTGATTGTAATAAAACATGGCATATAACTATTGTTCTAACTAGTTAGATTATTTGCATTGTCATATTAATACTATGGTTTTAATAAATATATATATATTTTAAATGTAGACCTGTTATTGTTCTATAATTATCTTTATTCTCTCTTGTATGTTGACAAGGGAGCAAACTGTACCATTATATCATATATTTATGCATAAAAACATGTTTTTAGACATTCCAGAAAAAGAATTTATGTATTTTAATCAGTGAAACGTAACTGAAATGTTTAATGTTCGTTTTGATAACTGTATATCATTTCAGTTTGTTTTCTGCGTCTCTCTCTCTTAAAGCTAAGTATTTAATTTGTAGAAACTTGCACAATTTTTAAATTAATGTGACTTGGAACATAAGAAGAGTTTTGAAACGATATGTAATCGGGTCTTATTAAAGGTAATCAAAGTGAATGTTTTTTTTTAGAAGCCAACTATTCATTTATTTAAATATATATCTGTGTTTTAACTAACAAAGTGGTTGGAGTATAGAACTGAAGTAAGAGCGAATTTATGAGTTATAGAGTAATTTATGCGTGTTGTAGTGTGAACGTAATATATGTATATACTGAGTATATCATGTAGAAGATACATGTATCCATTATTGATATTACTAAAAGTCTAAATAAATATAGCTGGAAATTATCATTTCTGTTTTCCCACCTCTTTTTTTTTTTCTCTCTAGAACTTGAGGTACTTGAATTTTTTGTTGTGTTTTTTAATGAAATTTCACAAAACTGGTTGCCCCCATCACATCAAACATACTCACCCTTTCAGCTGTGGGGTCATTATTTATGTGACGGTCAATCCCATTATTTATTGGTAAAAGAGTAGTCCAAGAGTTGATGGTGGGATAGTGTTGACTAGCTGCCTTCCCTTTAATCTAAATTAGGGACAAAAAGTCATCGTGTAGCTGTGCGCAAAATTCAAACCAAATTGGTTGAAGTATTGGTGAGATTGTGAGTATTTTGTATGACTTGTTGATGGCATATCTGACTTAAACTACTTCATAGATTTAAATCTCTTCATTTATATCAGAATACACTCACTTCTTAGCATAATTAAATACTGTATTTTCTAATGTAGCTTCATTAAAATTGGTGCAAATATTTCGACTTATACAACCTATTTTCTACATTTACCAGTGTCATTTTCAGTATCATTAGAAAGATTGGTGCTAAGGTTTTAAACATATATATATATATTCTATTTCTTATCTTCTCCAATAAGCTTCAGGAATATCA